CAAGGAAAGCTAGTGAACCATGAGTTGTTCTACAACTATATGAAGCATATGAGGGCTCACCAAACCAGCCAAAAAAATATGTATGCCAAGTCAAAATATGCCCAAATAACCACTGAAACTCAGTCAATGCATGCAAAAATGATGGGCTCCTTTGAAAGGCCAATAAGAGGGTTACTCTACACATACATGATGGACATCAATGATGGCAAAACCACCTCTGGAAATAGGTTATAACAACCCTAAAACTCAACAAAAAGGCCTTGAAATCAACCTAGGAAGCATGCAAACGAAAGACCCTTTGAAAGGCCTTGAGTGGGATTGTTCTACACATGAATCATATACATAAAATATGGCCAAAGGGGCTCCGGAAAGAGTTAAGGCATACCTTAAAACTCACAAAATAGGGCCTGAAATGTGACTTCACAACATGCAAGATGGAAGCCCTTTGGAAGGCCAACAATGCTAGTAAAGAGGATAAGGGGTGAGAGGGTCACCCCTTTCTGATTTTGAAGCTCAAAAACACATATTGGCCACTGAAAATCCACTGGATTTCAGTGGCCAAAAGGCCAAACCAAGGCCAAACCAAGGCCAATGCAAATGCTCTAATGCATAGCCCTAAACATGAGGAAATGGAGCATACAAAGGGGAAGATGACCCCAAACAGAAAAAGTTCTTAAACAAACATGTTTAGAAGATCAAAACAAGACTTTTTCAGTTTATGTCAAAGTCTAAAAATGCTTGCAAATAAGGCTAAACTATGGAGCAAAATAATGCAAAAATGAGGGAAATAGAGGCTTACCCTTGTAGAGCCGACCCTCAACTACTTCTGGACCAAAAATGTGACTCCTCAAGCTTTGAAAATGACCTCCAAGATTCTTGAATGGATGGTGGAGGTGGTAGGCTATGAGTTGTAGTGTAAAATGGCCAAGAATAATGGGGTTTTGACGCTTGGAATGGAGAGTTATGGAGGAGGGTGTATGTATGCCTTAACTAAAGGATTCAACCCTTGCAATGGAAGCTCAGCCCCTCCTTTATAGAGGAGAGGCTCTAAAGCTTCTTAAGGAAGCTAAAAACCAAGCTTAAACATCCTCCATACACATGTATGGAGGATGCATTCTGAGGCTTCCAGCTGGCACAGTTGGCTTCAACTCAATGAGACAAAAAAAGGAGAAAACTGGCCGACCAGTTCAGGTGGTCGGCCGACCAATTTTCCTGGTTAGCCAACTAGTTCAAAGGGTTCAGGTGGTCGGCTGACCACCTTTTCTGGTCGGCCTGCTACTTTTTCTGGTTTTACAGGACAAAAAAATGGTCTGCCAGAAAGAAAGGTGGTCGGCCAGTGATTGGGAAGTCCAAAAGTGGTTGACTAGTTGTTAAAATTGAAGCCCCAAAAGTTATCTTTCCAATGGCGCAAACCTTGCATTAAAATTCCATCTGCGCAAAACGTTATGTCTGGTTTGGTGAAGCCGTGCAGATTCGGTCCAACCAGATTGATGCCCTACTTCAACCAACCATATCTCCCCTATCCAGACTTGGCTTTAGGAGATTCTTGAGTAAAAAATGAAGCCCCCGAAGTGAGATTTCCAACGGTACCAATATTGCATCAAAATTCCTTTTGTGAAAAGAGTTATGCCTGTTTCGGTGAAGCTGCGCAGTTTTAGTCCTACCCGGATTCATGCCGAACTTCTCGCAAACTAGTTTTCTTCTCTCTTCTCCTCTTTTCCTCAACTCCAAACCCCTAAACAAGGTGTTTTGAAAGATTTTTCCAAGATTTCATCTCTCTTTCATTCATTTCCACTCTGCCCTGACTCGGTTTACCGAAAAACGCAACATTTAACAAAATATGAGCCGCGGAACATTGTAAAAACTTTAATTCAAAAATGTTTTGAAAGAGAGGGTTTTATGGTCTAAAAACCATTTAAAATAGCTTTGGTCCAAAATGGGGTATGAAGTTGAGATTTGACTCTCCCCTTGCCGAAGAAACTGAACTTTTGCCCTGCACACCTTTCTCCACCAAATGAAACATCAGTAGTGCCCAATTCTGAAGGGCGGTCAAAAATGGAGTGTCTACACCAATCTACCTCAGCTATCTAGCACTCAGCCATTACCTACAGTGACGGAACCTCTACTTCGATAGGCAGAACAATCTCCATTCCATGAACCAAGGAATATGGAGTTGCCCCAGGAGAAGTTCGAATTGATGTCCGGTAGCCCCAAAGAGCAAATGGCAGCTTATCTGGCCAGTCCCTGTAGGTTTCCACCATCTTCTTCAAAATATGCTTGATGTTCTTATTGGCGGCCTCAACAGCTTCATTGGTCTGCGGCCGATATGTGGATGACTTATGAAAAGCCACGTTGTACTTCTTCAACAAGTCGATCACCTCCTTCTTGAAGTGGGAACCATTGTTTGAAATAATCTCATTCGGGACCCCATAGCGACAAATAATATTGTTCCTGATGAACGTAGCAACATGCAATGCCTTCAGCACTGCATAGGATTGGGCCTCAACCCACTTTGTAAAGAAGTCTATCGCCACCAGAATATACTCATGCCCGTTCGACCCGTTTGGAGTAACTGTCCCAATCACATCAATCCCCCAGACTGAAAATGGCCATGGCAAAGTCATGTTGTATAGTTTCAACAACGGAATGTTCATGCGATTTGCATGGATCTGGCATTTGTGTCATCGCCGAACAAAGCCAATACAATCCTTCTCCATGGTTGACCAATAATAACCCTGTCTGAGAATCTTCCGAGCCAGTATTACCCCGCTCATGTACGCTCCACACTCTCCTCCACGGATGGCCTCCATTAGGTGCTTGGATTCTTTAGCATCAACACACAGTTTGTGCATCCCAAGATGAGTCCGTTTGTACAGTTTACCCCTCCAGACGATGAACTCTGCAGCCATTCTTCGAATTGCCCTCTTGTCTTTGGCATTTGCCCCTAGTGGATAAGCTTCCTTTTCTATGAAGTTCCACACTACAGGAAAAAACACTTTTCGTGACCAACATTTCTGGTCGCAGAAAGGTCAAATCTGGTCGCTAATAGTTTTTAGCGACCAAAAAAAGTTGGTCGCAATTTGGTCGCCAAAAGTCCATCACAGAAGGTTTTTGGAGACCAAAAGTGAAGTTGGTCGCGGAAAATCATCATTTGTGACAACATTCTTTGGTCGCGGAAGGGACTTGAATTTGCCAAAATTGATCCTATTGCGACTAAAAATTTAGTCGCTAAAAGTTAGCTTTTAGCGACCATCTATTTTGGTCGCTGAAATATAACCATTTGCGACGAAAATATTGGTCGCAGAAAGTGGACTTTTGGCTACTAGAATAATTGTAGTCGCAGAAAGTGAGCATTTGCGATGAAGTTCTTGGTCGCGAAAAGTTGACTTTTGGCGACCAGAATAATTCTAGTCGCAAAAAATTGAGCATTGGCGACGAAGATTTTGGTCACGAAAAGTTGACTTTTGGCGACTAGAATAATTCTAGTCGCAGAAAGTGAATATTGGCGACGAAGATGTTAGTCGCGAAAAGTGGACTTTTGGCGACCAGAATCTTGTTGGTCACAGAAAGGGTGTATTTAGCAATTCCTAGAACCTTATTGCGACTAAAAACATATTGGTCGCAAAAAAACTTTTAATTTCAAAATTGATTCTTTTAAATATAATGCTAAATTTTTTGTAATACCTATAATACATTTGCAATTAATACATAATTCATGTCCATCCAATCAATTTTAATATACCAATCCAGAAGTGAGATTTCCAACGGTACCAATATTGCATCAAAATTCCTTTTGTGAAAAGAGTTATGCCTGTTTCGGTGAAGCTGCGCAGTTTTAGTCCTACCCGGATTCATGCCGAACTTCTCGCAAACTAGTTTTCTTCTCTCTTCTCCTCTTTTCCTCAACTCCAAACCCCTAAACAAGGTGTTTTGAAAGATTTTTCCAAGATTTCATCTCTCTTTCATTCATTTCCACTCTGCCCTGACTCGGTTTACCGAAAAACGCAACATTTAACAAAATATGAGCCGCGGAACATTGTAAAAACTTTAATTCAAAAATGTTTTGAAAGAGAGGGTTTTATGGTCTAAAAACCATTTAAAATAGCTTTGGTCCAAAATGGGGTATGAAGTTGAGATTTGACTCTCCCCTTGCCGAAGAAACTGAACTTTTGCCCTGCACACCTTTCTCCACCAAATGAAACATCAGAAACCACAACACCACCACATTATTACCATCCTTACAGTTCGTGTATTATCTCCTCCATCACTAGTTCAATCCCTAACTATGTAAATAGAATTATTATCCATGTATAGATTGTAAATAGAATATTCTGTTAAGTCAACATTGTGGGGACAACTGTAATGTGAATCAAAATATTATGAAAACATAGTGTAATTTTGCCAAACATTGTGAGTAAATTATAATTTCTCAAATTTTCAGGAGAGATACAATGTATTTATTTATTTGTGTGTGGATATTCAGGATTCTCAGCCATGTCTTTCCCCAACACAAGCTTCAATAGTTGGTGAGAAACCAACAGAGAAAAAAAAAACAAACAACCAGCAATCCAAAGCAACACAAACCAATTAACTAATATTAGAAAAACACACCATCATCTGCAAACACCACCTACTCCTTTATACACATAGTACCTCTTAACTTTACCTTTACACAAAGTAGCCTTTAACAAGATAAAGCCTCTTGAACCAAACAAGCTAACAAGACAGTCATAGAAATGTAACTATGTACCTAAATCCAATAATTTAATACCAAGTCATGTACTGAAAATAAGGCACCTCAACCTATGCCCCCCAACCATCCAACTATGTACCTAAATCCGAATGAAATTAACCTATGAAACCAATCAAATCAATATTAGACCATCATATGAATGGATGCCAACACGACAGTCACAGATCAACTGTCAAAATCAGATCTATGAGCTGATAAATTGAAGCAAATCCCAGAAGTATTCACAAACCATCAAAAGCAATAGTACTTACTCATCAAAAGAGTCGTATCCACTACCATTGCCCTGCATTTGTCTCATAAAGTGTTCAAACTGTTCAAAGCATCCTTCATATGATTGAATTATCCCTTTCAGTGATGCTACCTCTTCTTTAAGGCCCTTAACCTCTTCATCACGTGCTTGTGACCTAGTTGTAGAATTGAATGCATAAGACGGCTTTAGACCAACCCTGAAACCTCTCAAATACCCTGAACGCTTCCCAAGGACTTGAACAGTAATTTCCTCCTGTGTTAGCGGGGTTGCTCCATGCTGTGAAGATTCCTCATGAAGTTGGTCCATCTTTTCCTGTTTTTGTTAAAAAAAGAAAAGAAAAGAAAAAAAAAGGATCAACAGTTATCCTATTTTACAAGTACACTAACTAGTTAAGCATTGTATAGGACTATGAATAACAAATATAATGAAGGTATACTTACATATAACTCCGCACAAACTGGTTCAATCCAATCTTTTTTTTTTTTACTCCAATGTGAGGTCTTGAAAAAATCTACAATGTGAGGCTCCTTTCCAGTTTCAATTCCCTACATGAAACATATAAAATGCAAGCTTAGTAATATTGTTAATAAAAAAATTGTAGCATTAACTATAAGTTTTAAAACAAAAAATGTGTTACCTCAATTGAGATTGCTGCTGAAAATGACCTTGAACCCATGGTGTGATTATAGGGTAACTTTTTCCTGTTGGCTATATTTCTTGTTGACCGTTTCTACAATGCAATAGAAATATTAACTTAAAAATCAATATCCAAGCATGGTTCCTATATCTTTCCCTCCATCTCTGCAATTTCCTTACTCTGTCTCATATATAATTGTATATTATTTGAATTTCAAAGAAACTTGGGACCTTTGAGTTATTCATTGTAGTGCAATTAAAAGAAACATCCATGACTGTTAAGTTAATTACCTTGTGTGTGTCACCAAGAAACACTTCATCAATCATGTATCTCCAATCTTCTTCGCTCACCCCAACAAATGGTTTACTATAAGGATCTGTACCTTCTTTCACCAACTCTTTGTAATGTTCATGCATATGATATCGCCAGCCTTTGAAAAAATGTGTGGCCTTTGTGTCAATGATTTCTTGTGGAAGTGGACTCTCATCATATCCTTCAATCTCAAACTTATCCTGTCCCAATTAAACATAAAATGAAAATTAAACATCTCATATATTAATTACTTCAATCTCAACAACTATAAAAATTAAATTACCCGCAAGGATTGTACAATAGCTGCTCGAATGACTGGTGGAACGTCCTCCCAATTTTTTGTTCCTTGCAATGGGGCTTGCAATCGAATTTGTGCCCCCAATTCGTTAGCGGCCTTGGTGGCATTAAGCCCCACAAATGTCCTCCTCTCAATAGAAACTCCAACAAAAAGCTTCTTCCCACCATGTTGGTTGATGAGTCTACTACTGTTCTTACCCCTAGTTGGACCTCGTACTCGCTTTACAGATGGACCTATATTATAAACACAAAATGCAACACTATTATAGGCTGCTGCTAAATAGGTTGTTGTTGCTGTATATACAGAGCAAATTTTAAGAACTCTCTTTAAATAGCATATGTGAATGAAGATTACTATGTGTCATATAATGTATATAGGTTGCTGCTGCTGCTGCTATATAGGTTGCTGTAGATTTTAAGAACTCTCAAGTTTAAAGCATCATGGAATGTATATGCCTTTATTCAAGCTTGCTATTATGTCATGTTCATGATTATAAGATTACTATGTCTAAGATAAGATGACTGAACATAATTTGATGCATGTTTTTTGCCTCAAGGGATCAAAAATCCTGGCTCCGTGCCTAAAACAAATCCATCTGGTTTCCATCGATATAGATTGGAAACAAACATGGGATAAGTATGATTCATACCAGTCAAATCCATGGCAAACTTACACAAGCAAAACCAACTACTAGAATGTTACAGCTTTAGTTTTCAGCAAATAATTCGAAGTTGTAAATATTGTATGATTGCTTGATCGATGAGGAAAAAAAAAATAGTAAAACCAACTACTCCAAAAGGCCCAGCATCATATATAGGCCAAAAACCAATTATGTAGCATCAGCTCAGGTACATGGAATTGGCTATTCTTTAGTAATTTTCAACTGATACAATCCAGCAATTAGGAAATTATTGTAATGTCGCTTTAGAACAGGACAGGACAGGATGATTGGTTACATCTAAATCATCTAATAATATGTACGAAAATCAGATTTATTCTACAGTTTCAACTATTAAAGTCAATTAAATCATTTGCAGCGTGAAAAGATGATTTGTGAAAATTTATGCCTCCATCGACCTGCCATTCTCTAAGAAAATGAGACAATCACACGGCTGATGTTGGGCACAGAGAGATTCCATTAATTACTCATTGGAAAATTGAAAACAAATGATAGATACATGAAAGAGAATCAACAAATGTGAAACCCTAATCCTTACAATACTTCCATGGACTGATATATGAAGGCTTAAAAAAGAAGACAGATTTGTCTTTTTGTTTATATGTAGGCAAAATATATGTTTCGCTAAGTGCTATCAGTACATTTGTACAACTTGTGAATATTAAATATGTTTTTCTAGTGATGAGCCTTGTGGTACAGTTCCCAACTATAATTTGGAAAGTTGGCATTTTGGTCCTATCTGCCTAAAATTACTTTGTAGTTTTGTGTTCAATTAAAGTACGCTTCTCATGTCGTATACAATCACCTACTTTAAGAGGGAGAAGGCTCTCATAACTTGTTTAGATGATTATGGACATGAGAAATGGCAAGAAAGGAGGAGATGTCCCTTAAAACTCATGTTTTGTTTCTCACCAAAAGTGGTGAGAAATGAAAATTACCCTTTGTAGCATGCTTATAATACCTAAAATATCCCCCTAAATACAAAGTAAGTAAAATTAAAAGGCACATGTGTCCTCTTTTATTATTGTTCATCCAAGATAATGAAAAACCACAATCATTTTTCTTCTTACCTTGGTCAGAGACGTAATCATTTTATTTCTTCTCACCTTGCGACCCAAAAGGTGCCTACAATTCTTTCTTTGATATTTTGCTACGTCTCAATTCCTGATTTCATTCAATGAAAAGTTTTTGTAGGCATTTCGGGCATTATACCTGGCATTATGGACAACTGATTATCTACCTTTTATATTGCACAACCGCTGTGGATGTGGCAGAACCAAAGAAGATTTTGGCTGATGAGGGTATAGTATCCCAACTTGCATCAATGGGGTTTAATTATCTTCATTGTCAAAAAGCTGATATCAACACCTCAAATGCTGGGGTGGAAGAGGCAATGAATTGGTTACTATCTCACATGGATGATCCAGGTATTCCATCTTAAAAGGTCTCTTTTTTATTGTCTCTCACAGATTGTCTCTCACAGAGTCATACTTCAATACTAACAAATTTTTAATCATAATCACTCAAAAAAGAGTAAGCATGTAGTAACTACTCAACATTGATTACAGTTTCAGGAGCAAAAAACAAATTGTTCTATACAAAGGATGAAACACTTACCAATATCAACTGTTTGCGAAGATGGAGATGCATCCACAGGAGATAGACTTGCAAATGCATCCACAGGAGATATAGCTGGGAGCTCAACCAGGTTTGCCTCTGACATTGAGGTTGTCGACCTCCTCTTAGTGGCTTGCCCAGGTGGCATCTGTGTAGTCTTTGTATCTAACAAATGAATTGTAAGCAACCAAAAGTAAAAATTTAAAATGCATGACAATTTATGAAATTATAAGATAACCTAATAGTGTAATATTAGAACCACATTACAAGTCAAGAAATTATCAACAAAAAAATTCATTACAATTTGAATCATCACTAAACATGTCTTCATTTTTTTTTATCAACAAACAAAATAAGATTATATATAATGAACACAAATACATCAGGAGCATAGCTATTAAAACCAAACAAACTTGGCACCAATGAGCTAGCCCAAACATCCGCTAGTAATATAACCATTGGTGAGAAACCAACAAGAAGAAAACCAACAGGAAAACAGAGGAGAAACCAGCAGGAAGCATAAAAAACAGATTCAAGTAGCAGCCGCATTTCAACATTACACCAGCAGATTCAAAACAGATTCAGCAGATTCAGATTAATAAACAGATTCAGATAGATTCAGCAGCATCACCAAACAGAAGAGAAAAAAAAAACATACAGCACTTCAGCAGCAGCACACAGAGGAGACAGTAGAACAAACATAGCTTCAAACAGATTCAGACAGATTCCGATGTTTCCAAATGGACCACAATGAAGCAATAGGTACAACATTCCAGACTTGTTGTAACTAAACATGTCTTCATTAACAAGTGCATGCCATTACAATCAAGAGCATTACAATGAAAATGACTTGATAATGCAAAAAATAAAGGATATTACAATCAAGGCTCTATATCATCATCTGTATCCGAGTTACTATGACTATGAAATTCATCTTCATCATCACTAGGATCATTTGAATGTTGATCATTATCATCACAGATAAAATCATCTCTGTTTGGACCCTCTACATGTACACTTGTACTAGATTGCAGAACCACTTGACTTGGAATAATATCAGGTGCAATATCAGTCCTACGTAAAGTGTTGCTAATGGAATCTGCAATGCTGATTTGGACAATTTCAGTGGTCTCGTCCTGCTGGAACACATCATTCAGAATAGGCAATTCATTATCATCAGGATCTACATCCTCAAGCTTCGGCACATTCCATATTCCTCGACGTTGAAATCGCTCTACGACTTTCCAATGTTCACCTAATTTGGTATCATTGACATAAAAAACTTGTTGCACCTGGCTTGGCAAGACAAATGGGTCATTTTGATACCAACGGCTTCGTACATCAATGGTTGTCAAATGTGTTTCAGTGCGAAATGTTCTGTTGCTACCAATGTTAAACCATTCGCATTGAAATAACACAACTCGATGCCCGAACATGTATGTCATTTCCTAAACTTTAGTCAACTGACCATAGAAATCAATTGACATACCATGATGATCCCCTCGAACAACCAACCCACTATTTTGACTTTTACGACGGTTGTCTCGCTCTTTCGTGTGGAATCGAATGCCATTACAAATACAACCTGAATAAATATTCACTATTGGACTAGGACCATTAGCTAGTGACCACAACTCATCAGTTGCTTCCGATGATCCTTCAGCTCGTAATTGATTTATCTACATGAACATGTGACAAGGATGCATGATGTTAATATCAATCTACAAACAATGAATTATGTTTATGATGAGAGGTTACATATTATCTATGTATCTTATATATTACCCGCTCTTTGAACCACCTAGGAAATTCTTCTTGTTGTTGTCTTGTAATGTCATGTACATTTGCATTTTGTAACTGATTCTTGTGTTCTCTACTTGAAAAATCAAATGTGAATAATTAGTACTTGAGTGTGATCATAATGAAAAGCATTTTGCATAGACTTAACTAAATGAGAACATACTCTAGATATTCATCAATTTCAGGACTATTATACAAGATAAACCAATGAGCCATTTTTCTTTCATTCTCAGACATGTCAACTGCCCTTTGAGTGAGCCCAAAAGTACGGACTTTTTGTGAAAAAACTGAATGCCCTAAGCCAACATCACCACCATCTTCATTTCTTTCCTCTCTATTAAATATAGTTTCAATCCCACCAAGATACATAGAGCAAAAAGTTAGGCATTCTTTGACAATGTAAGCTTCTGCAATTGAACCTTCTGGGTGAGCTCGATTTGCTACATACCCTTTCAAAATCCCGAGTAATCTTCAACAAATAATAGGAAATTATTATATAAACCATATATATGGGTATACTATAATATTAAAAAAAATATAATTTCACATCAAAGAGCATAAAAATACCTTTCGATAGGGCACATCCATCGATATTGCACTGGCCCTCCAAGAATGGCTTTGCGAGGCAAGTGAATAGCTAAGTGAACCATCACATCAAAGAATGCTGGTGGAAAAATTTTTTCTAGCTTGCAAAGTATGAGTACTATGCTCTCTTGTAATTTTTTCAAATCATTCACCCTCACTGTTTTTGAACATAACTGTTGAAAGTAATTTCCCAACTCAAACAATGCAATAGAAATGTCCTTGTTAAGATACCCACGCATTCCAATAGGAAGAAGTCGTTGTATAAGGACATGGCAATCAGGGCTTTTCAAACCGGATAACTTGCCGCCCTTTGTGCTCACACACATAGAGATGTTTGCTGCATACCCATCAGGATACCTAATCGATTTTAAGAACTCACAAAAACCTTGTCTTTCCTTTAGGGACAATGTGAACAATGCAATGGGCTTTTCAAAGGACCCATCCGCGCGCCTCTTTAAGTGCAAATCCTTCCTAATTTTCATATCCTCTAAATCCATGCGTGCTTTTTCCGTATCCTTGTTCTTCCCATCAATGCTCAACAAAGTCCCAATTAAATTATCACATATGTTCTTCTCTATGTGCATAACATCGAGGTTATGTCGTAACTTGAGTGTCTTCCAGTAAGGCAATTCGAAAAATATGCTTTTCTTTGTCCAATTCAGGACGGTATTTTCATCCCTTTTTCTTTTTTGGTTGCTTGGATGCTTCCCAAATGGTTTAAATGTTCCTGAATCCAATTGATTTAAAATTTGTTCCCCTGACAACTCCGAAGGTCTTGCTCGATCATCTGCCTTACCATTAAAGAGCTTACTTCTTCGCCAAGGATGGTCTTCAGGTAAGTATCGGCGAGCACCAGTGTATCCTATCTTACTTCTTAACCGTTGTGATGATGCATTCTCATTACAATTGGGACAAGCCAAATATCCTTTCGTACTCCACCCTGACAAGTTACCATATGCAGGGAAGTCATTAATAGTCCACATAACAGTTGCATGCATTCGGAAACTTGCCCCAGTTGAGGCATCATAAGTAACTACACCATCTTCCCATAACTCCTTCAACTCGTCAATTAATGGCCTCAAGTAAACATCAATATCTCTCCCGGGTGCTTGCGGTTCAGGAATAAGCAATGACATCATGGAAAATGGTTGTTTCATACACTTCCACGGTGGTAGGTTATAAGGCATAACTACCACAGGCCACATACTATATGAGTTGCTCAAATTTCCAAAAGGGTTGAAACCATCGGTGGCCAACCCCAACCTCACATTACGTGGTTCTTGGGCAAACACAGCATGTTGCCTATCAAAATCCTTCCACGCCTCACCATCGGCTGGATGCCTTAAGATGCCATCATCAACACGTTTTTCTTTATGCCATCGCATATCTCCAGCTGTTTTTCTTGACATGTATAATCTTTGCAACCTTGGTGTCAACGGAAAATATCTCAAGATTTTATGAGGTATCTTCTTACCTTTGCCATCATTCATTTTGTATCTAGGCTCCTTACAAATCGAACAATTTTCTAAATTTGCATTTTCCTTCCAAAAAAGAGCACAATCATACTTACATGCATGAATAGGCACATATCCTAAACCCAAATCACGTAAAAATTCCTTCGCTTCATAAAGGGTCCATGGAACCTTTTGATCACTTTCTGGTAAAAGGTCTTTCAATACGCCTAACAACATGTCAAAAGACTTATTGCTCCACTTGTTTAAAACTTTTATATGAAGCATCTTAACGACAAATGATAACAAAGTAAAGTTCTGACAGCCAAGGTATAATGGACGACGAGCATCCTCTAACAATTTATCAAAGTTTCGTCCATCTTCTCTTTGCTCATTATCATTCTGTTCACCCTCTTCATCATCATAAAAAATATGCGCCATGTGACAGTCATCTAACATATCATTTAATTCATCTTCAATGTGAAGGGTCCCTTCATCACCAACACCTTCAATGTCATTGTCATTATTCCACACACGAGGTTGATTGACAGGAACAGTTTCCCCATGGTGCACCCAAGTCTTGTATGAAAGTGATATCCCTTTTCGGATCAAATGATATTCCACATCCTTAAAGGTATGATGTTCAAAATTTAGGCAATCCATACACGGACAACGAATTCTATTATCTACGCCAACATTTGTCATTGCAAATTGGAGAAATGACTTAACCCCTTCTCTATACTCCGAACTCAATCTATTCCTAATTGACATCCAACTCTTGTCCATATTTGGTGACCTACAAAGTGAAGATTATGTTAGGTGAATAAAGCAAAAACCAATTAACTAAAAATGAATTTTATTCCTATTTTGGAGGTTAATTTTGTTATAAGGTGAAAAAGTTATTTATACGCTTTAGGCAAGCATCAAATCTCACATTCCTTCCTATATTATTCAACTATAATAGCTATTGATTCCATTATGGTTGTTTTAGTATTCAATAAGCACAATATTGAACACTACTGCTGCTGCCAAGAAAAGAAGAAAAAAAATATTAAGAACCAACAGGAAGTTGCTGCTGCAGCATGAAGCTGCTGCTATAGCACAAAGAACCAAATTATATTAACTGAAAAAATAATATTTTCTACTTTAAAAAAAGAAAAAATATTTTACAGATTAAAATTTTAAGGGCATCATCATTCTATCATCTGCATCACCACCTAATACAATTAAAGTCATAATGAATGCTCATCTGCATCATATATTTGACAGATTTGTAATTAACGTTCAAAATATATCCTGAATTGTTATTTCCCAAAATATATATATATATATATATATATATCTTTTAGCACCAAATCCCCTACTTTAAGATTCCTGGACATCACTTTCTTATTGAAAGCCCTGGCAATCCTTCGTTGATAACATTGAGCATGGTACAGTGCTTTCAGCCTCCTCTTATCAAACAACATAAGTTCCTCGAACTTGCTCTGCTGCCAATCCACTTCTGCTATCTGGCACTCAGCCATAACCTGCAGTGACGGAACCTTTACCTCAATCGACAGAACAGCTTCCATCCCATAAACCAGAGAATACGGAGTTGCCTAGTAGATGTCCAAATTGAAGTTCTATAGCCCCAGAGGGCAAATGGCAGTTTGTCTGGCCAATCCCTGTAAGTCTTAACCATTTTCTGCAAAATGTGCTTGATGTTCTTATTGGCGGCCTCAATAGCTCTGTTGGTTTGCGACCGATATGTGGATGACCTATGAAAAGCCATGTTGTATTTCTCCAACAAGTCGATCACTTCTTTCTTGAAATGGAAGCCATTGTCTGAAATGATCTCATTCGAGACCCCATAATGACAAATAATGTTATTCCTGATGAACTTGGCTACATACGACGCCTTCAGCACTGCATAGGATTGGGCTTTGACCCACTTTGTAAAGTAGTCTATTGCCACCAGGATATACTCATGCCCATTCGAGCCTTTCGGCGTAACTACCCCAATAACATCAATTTCCCAGACTGAAAAAGGCCATGGTCAAGTCATGTTGTACAGCTTCGACGACAGGATATTCATGTGATTTGCATGAATTTGGCATTTTTGGCATCGCCGAACAAAACCAATACAATCCTCCGACATGATTGATCAGTAGTAGCGCTGTCTGAGAATCTTCTGGGCTAGCATTACTCCGCTCATGTACGATCTGTACTCCCTTCCGTGTATGGCCTCCATTAGGTGCTTCAACTCTTCTACATTAACACATAACTTGTCCATTCCCAGATAACCCCGTTTGTACAATTTACCTCACAGACGATAAACTGAGTAGCCATTCGCTGTATTACCCTTTTATTTTTGGCATTTGTCCCTAGTGGATAAGCCTCCTTTTCCAAGAAGTTCCAGATGTCATGATACCAGGGGTTTTGATCTTGTACTTCATCTATGGCCGCAATCAGCTCGTAGGTCGGCACATACCTCTGTTCGATGATGATTGGACGCATCCAGACTCGCAAAGGGATGTCTCTCATAGAAGATAGAGTTAATAAAGCGTCTGCAAACCTGTTACTATCTCTTAACAGATGGGTGAAGGTTAACTTCTCAAACCTGGGAATTAGAACGTCTAGGGTTTGGTGATAGATTTTCATCCTTTCTTTCTTCACCTTCCAGTCTCCTTTCGCCTGAGACATAATCAGGTTTGAGTCCCCAATGACATCCAACCTTTTTGCCCCTAGTTCCAGGGTGGCTTCTAAGCCAGCGATACATGCCTCATGCTCTACTTCATAAGAAAGAATAGGTAACAAGTCGAGTTTAGAACGAGTTTATAGTAAATTGTCAAATCAAAATTAAATACTATTTATTTGGGTGTTTTCTATAAAAATATTGATTACAGACTTATGATCAAATGGTTCACACCTCTCTATTTTCAACAGTTGGATTTAAACTAATTATCTAAGTTATTGATTATAACCACTTTTAGGTATAATCGACCACTGCCCCATCTGGTACTAGGTGTTAAGACATATAGAGTAAGGGAAAATTCCCACCAATAATTCGAGTTTGTTTGGCAGTGTTTTCGTTTATTTTGTTTTTGTTTTTCATATTTTTGGAATAAAAAAAATAACAAAAATAATTTCAAAAAACTCTATTATTTTCTTATCATTTTTATTTTTGTACAAAATTTGCTTTCCTAACTTTTTTGTGCTTCTTAAAAAATGAATATCATAGGTGTTTTTTAAAAATAATTCGTCAAATAAATTCTTTATCCTTTCTAAAAAATTAAGGGTTAATTACACTTTTTACGCTGCAGTTTTACCCAAATTTTACTTTAGTCTCCTCTATTGTTTTAATTTGAATAATTTGTTCTCTATAATTTAAGTCTAGTTCGGTTCTCCTATCTAAATTTTTGTTAATTTTGTCTACGTATACACCTTAGAAAATTAACAAGTGTCCCAAAATTATTAATTTTAACTTTCAATTTAGATGGAAGAGAAGAGTCAAATTGAAAAAATAAAAAATTAGCAAGGGTCTCAAATTTGTTAATTTTAACATCTAATTTAGATGGAACAACCAAATTGAAACATTAAAAAGTTGACAAGTATTCTAAAATTGTTAAAACCTCCAATTAAGACAAAAGGACCAAATTGAAGCTAAATTTAAAATATAAAGACCAAATTGTTCAAATTGAAATTATAGGAACTAAAGTAAAATTTAGATCAAACTAGAAGGTGAAAAGTGTAATTAACTCAAAAATTAAAATTGTTTCAAAAAGAAAAAAGAAAAAAATAACAAACAGAGGAGAAAATTTTCAGAAAAAAAAAAGAAAGTATGAAAATCAAAGAAAAATGAGAGATAAGCAGATCGATTACAAATCAATCAGAAATTCTATGTATGAAAATCAAATGATAGAGATTAAAAAAAAAATCAGAAAGTATATATGAAACTCAAATAATAGAGATATAGATATAGACAGACATAGATATAGACATGAACAGATCGGAAGTGAGGAGTTGCAATGATGAAAAAGGATGGTCAATCGATCGATTATATATATACATGAACAGAGAGAGAGATTGAGAGAGAGAGAGACAGACACTAACCTGGTAAGTACAAGGTGGAGGCGAAGATGAAGAGCGGCAAACCCAGGGGACGAAGTGAGGAGATGGTGCGTACGGTTTGATGAACCGATCGGAAGCTCAAGGAAACAGGAAACTTTTTTTTATTAAGGAAGAGGGCAACAATGAGGGAAGGAAGAGGGCAACAATGAGGGAAGATCAAGGCTCATAAACATATTTTTTATTTAAGAATTTCAAAACGACGTAGTGTGTATCATTTTTTCTTTTTGTGACCAAAATCTACTGGTAGCCAAAAGATTGATGTCCCGCCCTTTTTATTTCGCGCTCCCGCCATCACTTTTGGCGACCACATTTTGTATTTGGTCACAAATACTTAACTATTAGCCACCAAAAAAATGTTGGTCACTAAAACACCATCATCCGTGACCAAAATAAATTTTGGTGGCAGATTACCATACTTTTTGTGACCAACTAAAAATAGGTGGTCACTAAAGGTGTTTTTTCTTGTAGTGCCAAATGTCGTGATACCAGGGGTTTTGATCTTGTACTTCATCTATGGCCGCAATCAGCTCGTAGGTCGGCACATACCTCTGTTCGATGATGATTGGACGCATCCAGACTCGCAAAGGGATGTCTCTCATAGAAGATAGAGTTAATAAAGCGTCTGCAAACCTGTTACTATCTCTTAACAGATGGGTGAAGGTTAACTTCTCAAACCTGGGAATTAGAACGTCTAGGGTTTGGTGATAGATTTTCATCCTTTCTTTCTTCACCTTCCAGTCTCCTTTCGCCTGAGACATAATCAGGTTTGAGTCCCCAATGACATCCAACCTTTTTGCCCCTAGTTCCAGGGTGGCTTCTAAGCCAGCGATACATGCCTCATGCTCTACTTCATTGTTCAATACCTTGAACCGGAGTTTGAAAGCTAAGGGTATGTGCGAATTGTCGGGTGTTATCAGCAACACCCTTATCCCATACTTGTACTGGTTAGACGCTCCGTCAAAGTACATAGTCCAGACCTTTTCTTCAAGCTACAGAATGACCTCATCCGGGAACATATATTCTACTGCTTCACCTCCCTTTACTGGGTGATTGGCTAGGAACTCTGCTACCGCTCTCCTTTTCACAGACTTGTGCGTCATGTACTTCAGATCAAATTTGGAGAGAAGAAGCAACCAAGGAGCTAGCCTACCCGTAAGCGCTGGTTTCTCAAAGAGATATTTGATGGGATCTAATCTCGAAACCAGTATTACGGAGTGTGCTAACAGGTAGTGCCTCAATTTCCTGGTAGCCCATACCAAGGCCAACCAAGCCTTTTCCAGCGAAGTGTAGCGGGTCTCATATTCCAGCATTTTCTTGGTTAGGTAGTAGATAGCCATCTCCACTTTATCCTCAAATTCCTACGCAAGCATGCAACCCATTGTCATATCGGTCACTGATAGAAACAGAATCAACAATTTCCCCGGCTCTGGCGGCGACAACACAGGTGGATTCTGTAAGTATTGTTTGATCTGTTCGAAAGTAACTTGGCATCGGTCATCCCATTGGAACTTCTTTCCTTTCTTTAGGAGACCAAACAATGGTTCACAAGTCAAGGTTAATTTTGCAATAAACCGTCTTATGAACTGCACTTTACCCAGAAAGCCACGCACCTCCTTTTCAGTCCTTAGTGGTGGCATTTCTAAGATGGCCTTGATTTTGGAAGGATCGACCTCGATACCCCTTTGTGTGATCAAGAACCCCAACATTTTCCCTGCTGCAATACCAAAAGTACATTTTTGAGGATTCAATCATAACCAATACTCTCTGATCTGTTGGAATTTCTTTTTCAAGGTGGTGTAGTGGCCCTCTCTTTCCTTGGACTTGACAATCATGTCATCCACGTACACCTCGACCTCTTTGTGGATCATGTCATGCAAAATTGTGGTTGCAGCCCGTTGATATGTGGCCCCAGCATTCTTCAAACTAAACGACATCACTCTATAAGAGTAGGTTCCCCACATGGTGGTAAAAGCAGTCTTCTCCCTGTATTTGGGTGCCATCATAATTTGATTGTAGCCAGAAAATCCATCCATGAATGAGAGCAGTGCATGCCCAGCATTGATGTCTACCAATTCGTCGATATGTGGCAGAGGAAAGTCGTCCTTCGGACTGGCTTTGTTTAGATCTCTGAATTTTGCCATCTTTCTTCGGCACTAGAACTATATTGGCCAACCAAGTCGGATACTTAGATACTAACAGGAACCCTGCGTCAATCTACTTGGTGACCTCTTCTTTGATTTTCAGAGCCCAGTTCGGGCGAATCCTTCGGAGCTTCTGCTTAACAGGTCAGGCCTCTAAGTCAAGAGGGACCCGGTGTTATACAATCTAAGGATCGATTCCAGGCATGTCTTCGTAGGACCACGCGAAAACATCTTTGAAATCTTTTAATAAAGCGACTAAGCGCTCGCGTTCCTCAGAAGGCAACGTGGACCCGATTTGGACCAGCCGCGGTTCTTTCTTAATACCACCATTAAATGAAGTGATTTCATCAACCAAAGGTTTTATAAACCTGTCATGCTCTTGATTAATCAAATGTTTCAAAATCGGAGGAATTTCTTTCTCGTCGTTTTCATCAAAGTTTTGAAAGTCCTGATTAAAGCAATAAACTAACGGCACAGAAAAGTACTCAGAAGCCACAACTGTACCATTCTCATTTACAACATCCAGTTCATCTGATTTTTCGGTTACAACCGACTTAAAAGAAAATGAAAAATACAACCTGGACTTAACAACTGCATCCGGGTTATCAACCCCAGGAATACTGGACTCTGACTCAGACGAACTAGAATCTGATTCCGACTCCACAGACTTTGTGGAATCAGATTCTGGTTCAATACCTGACCCAGAACTGCTAGATAAAAAGCCTTCCTCGTATTGCCAGATGAGGGAATATGCGATGGATGTATCCAGAATGCCAGAAGAAGGGCCCACAACTGTTTGATCCCCAATCATGGAGACAGAGAAATCATCCCCTAAGCACTCCGATGTGATTTGAGGATTTGAGAGGAGACAAGCCAACACTGCTCCTATCTCAAGTTCTGTGCCTTTAGACTCATCCTCCTTGCAGTGCTCAATCTCAACTGGTGGGTCAGTTTGCTCTTCCGCAACTTCATCCCCTGACAACTGAAGGTCAAAAAAGATCTCGAAGTTGGGCAAATGTCGTTTCTCTGAATTCAGCCATGGCTTCGGAAAGCTGCAAAACGGGAAATTTTCCCTTTCTTGGACAAAGCGTCCGTTCAGGGTTCCTTGGATAGGTCTATGCACCATCTCATAGTGCTTCCCAACTTGCTTAGCCTTGGCTCTTCCAGCCATTTCCCTTTATTTCCTTGTCCAATCCTCTTTGGTAGGCGAGTAACCTAAACCAAAGGTATAACGGTTGTGTGGCACTTCGGCCAATGCTGTGACGCCCTTCCGGCCACTCCGTCCTAATCCCATTCTGGGCATGTGTTGAAGCTTGTTCATGAGGTAAACAAATTATGCATTGACGTACAGTCCCTTATCAACAGCTAGTAAGTCCGGTATTACCCGAGCCCCAGCCAAGGTGAATCCTGAGACATCCTCCACACCGTGTTCAATTTCCAAGACTGGTATAGAAATCTCTTGCGGCGGAATGGCGATGTTTTCTTGTCCGATTTTACCTTGGTTGAGGCCCGGGTGGTGTAAAATATCTTAGCTATTGATGAGGGGTTGTATGTCAGTGCTCAATCAGTCTACCTCATGAACAAGCTACAGTATATACCCAAGATGGGATTAGGATAGAGCGGCCCAAAGGGCGTTACTTCACTAGCCGAAGTACCACATAACCCTCATACCTTTGGCCTCGACTACACAACTACCAAAGAGGACTAGGTGAGAAAAGGGAAGGAAATGGCAGGAAAAGCCAAAGCAAAGCAAAGAGGGAAGCACTATGAGCTTGTGCATAGGCCAATTCAGGGAACCCTGAACGGCCGCTTTATCCGGGAGGGGGAAGACTTCCCATTTTGTGGCTTTCCTAAGCCATGGTTAAACTGTAAGAAACTACGTCTGCCTGACTTTGAGATTTTCTTCGACCTACAGCTGCAAGAGGATGAAACCACAAAGGAACAGACCGAATTAACTGCTGAGGCTGAACAGAGTACAGAGGGTGAGTCCAACAGTAGTGAACTTGAGAAAGGGGCAGCACTGGCTTGTCTCCTTTTGGATCCTCAGATCAAACCGGAGAGCTTGGGGGATGACTTCACTGTTTCCATGATCGGAGATCAATCAGGTGTGGACCCTTTCGATGGTATTGTGGATGCATCTAATGCACCCTCTCTCATGTGGCAGCTAGAGGAGGGCTTTTTATCCAGCAGTTCTGAATTAGCTAGTGAGCCAGAATCTGATTCCACAGAGTCTGTGGATTCGAAATCAGATTCCAGTTCTTTTGAGTCGGAGTTCGGTATTCCTGGGTTTGATAACCCGGATGCTGTAGTTTTGTCCAGGTCGTTCTTTTCCTTTTCTTTTGAGTCGGTTGTAACTGAGGAATTGGATGAGCTGGAACCTTTGAATGGGAATGATACCACTGCTGTTTATGAGTACTTCTTTGTGCCACTTGTATATCATGACTTTCAAAATTTTGTAAAAAACGACGAGGAAGGAATTCCTCTGGTTTTGAAACATTTGATTGATCAAGAGGAGGAGAGGTTTGTAAAACCCCCTTGTTGATGAAATCATTGCAATTAATGTGGGTACGGAGAAGGATCCGCGTCTGATCCAGATTGGGTCCATGTTGTTTTCGAAGGAACACGAGTGCTTAGTCGCTTTATTAAAAGATTTCAAAGATGTTTTCGTGTGGTCCCATGAAGACATGCCTAGAATCGATCCTAAGATTGTACAGCACCGGATCCCTCTTGACCTCGAGGCCCGACCTGTCAAATAGTAACTTCGGAGAATATGCCCGAATTGGGCTTTGAAAATTAAGGAAGAGGTCACCAAGCTGATAGATGTAGGGTTTTTTGCTAGTATCTGAGTATCCGACTTGGTTGGCCAACATTGTTTCGGTGCCGAAGAAAGTTGGTAGAATTTGGGTATGTGTGGATTTCAGAGATTTGAACAAAGCTAGTCCGAAGGACGACTTTCCTCTATCGTACATAATGAATTGGTGGACTTCATCGCAGGCCATGCATTGTTCTCCTTTATGGATGGGTTTTTCGGGTATAACTAGATCTTGATGGCACCCGAGGATAGGGAGAAGACTACCTTCACCACACCGTGGGGAACCTACTGCTACAGGGTGATGTCATTCGGTTTGAAAAATGCTGGGGCTACTTATTAACGGCTGCAACCACTATCTTGCATGATATGATCCACAAAGAGGTTGAGGTGTACGTGGACAAGATGATTGCCAAGTCCAAGGAAAGAGAGAGCCACTACACCGGCTTAAAGAAAATTTTTCAACAGATTAGAGAACATCGATTGAGGCTGAATCCACAGAAATGCACTTTTGGTGTCACAGCAGCGAAAATGTTGGGGTTCTTGATTACACAAAGGTTCATTGAGGTCAGACCTTCCAAAATCAAGGCCATACTAGAAATGCCACCACTAAAGACTGAAAAGGAAGTGCGAGGCTTTCTGGATAAAGTGCAATTCATAAGACGGTGTATTGGAAAATCAACCTTGACTTGTGAACCACTATTTAGTCTCCTGAAGAAACGAAAGAAATTCAAATGGGATGACCGATGCCAGTTCGCTTTTGAGCAGATCAAGCAGTACCTCCAGAACCCGCCCATGTTGTCACCGCCAGAGCCGGGGAAGTCGTTGATTTTGTATATGTCAGTAACCAACACGACTATGGGCTGCATGCTTGCTCAGGAATTTGAGGATAGAGTGGAGAAAGCCATCTATTACACCCCGTTGGAGAAGGTTTGGTTAGCCTTGGTATGGGCAACCAAAAAGTTGAGGCACTAACTGGTAGCTCACTCTGTAATTCTGGTTTTGAGATTAGATCCTATCAAATATCTCTTCGAGAAACTAGAACTTACGGGTAGGCTAGCCCGTTGGTTGCTTCTTCTTTCCAAATTTGATTTGAAATATATTACTCACAAGTCTGTCAAAGAGCGAGTGGTAGCTGAGTTCTTGGCAGATCACCCAGTGTAAGGGGACAAAACGATAGAATACCTATTCCTAGATGAAGCTATTCTGCAGGTTAAGGAAGAGATTTGGACAATGTACTTTGACGGAGCGTCTAACTAGTATGGTTATGGGGTAGGGGTGTTGCTGATAGCACCCGACAATGCCCATATACCTTTAGCCTTCAAACTTTGGTTCAAGGTCTCTAACAACGAAGCAGAATACGAAGCGTGTATCGCTGGTTTGGCAGCCGTCCTAGAACTAGGGGCAAAAAGGTTGGACATCATTAGGGACTCGAACCTGGTTGTGTCTCAAGCACCAAGAGACTGGAAGGTTAAGGAATAAATGATGAAAATCTATCACCAAACCCTAAACCTTCACTCATCTGTTATGAGAGAACAACAGGTTCACTGACACTTTATCAACTCTATCTCCCATGATAGACATCCCGTTGGAAGTCCAGATATGTCCGATCATTATTGAACAGAGATATGTGTCGACGTACAAGTTGATTGCCGTAGTAGATGAAGTATAAGATTAGAACCCCTGGTATTATGATATCTGGAACTTCTTGGAAAAGGAGGCTTATCCACTAGGGGCAAATGCTAAAGATAAAAGGGCAATACGGCAAATGGCTACTCAGTTTATCATCTGTGAGGGTAAGCTGTACAAACGAGGCCATCTGGGAATGGATAAACTGTGTGTTGATGTAGAAGACTCGAAGTGCCTAATGGAGGCCATCCATGGAAGGGAGTGCGAAGCACACATGAGAGGAGTAATTCTAGCCCAGAAGATTCTCAAGTAGGGTTATTACTGGTCAACCATGGAGGAAGATTGTATCGGTTTTGTTCGGCGATGCCACAAATGCCAATTCAAGCCAATCACATGAACATCCCGCCGTCGAAGCTGTACAACATGACTTCACCATGGCCTTTGTCAGTCTTGGGAATTGATGTTATTGGGGTAGTTACGCTGAAATGGTCAAATGGGCATGAGTATATCCTGGTGGCAATAGACTATTTTACAAAGTGGGTGGAAGCCCAATCCTATGCAATGCTGAAAGCGTTGCATGTAGCCAAGTTCATCAAGAATAACATCATTTGCTGTTATGGGGTCTCGAACGAGATCATTTCAGACAATGGCTCCCATTTCAAGAGAGAAGTGATCGACTTTTTGGAGAAATACAATGTGTTTTTTCATAAGTCATTCACATATCGGTCGTAAACCAACGGAGCTGTTGAGGCCGCCAATAAGAACATCAAGCACATTTTGCAGAAAATGGTTGAGACTCACAGGGACTGTCTAGACAAATTGTCATTCGCTCTCTGGGGCTATAGGACTTCGATTTGGACATCTTCTGGGACAACTCCGTATTCTTTGGTTTATGGGATGGAAACTGTTTTGCCAATTGAAGTAGAGGTTCCGTCACTACGGGTTATGGTTGAGTGCCAGATAACAGAAGTGGATTGACAGCACAACAGGTTCGAAGAACTGATGCTGTTCAATGAGAGGAGGCTAAAAGTACTGTACCATGTCCAAGGATATCAACACAAGATCGCCAGGGATTTTAACAAGAAAGTTAAGTCTAGGAATCTGAAAGAAGGGGACATGGTGCTGAAAGACAACCGAGCTCCTATCCATGACCCTAGGGGCAAGTTCAGACCTAATTGGACTGGTCCTTACATCATCAAATCTATTTGGTCGGGTGGCTCTGTCATTCTTATGGACCTAGATGGCCTCGAATTCTCCCAACCAATCAACATGGACAAGTTGAAGAAATACTATCCTTGAGTGGCTCGCTAGGTCGAAAACCCGAAAGGGTGACCTAGGTAAAAGTTAGAGCACAAAAAATTTGAAATAAGAAAAACTGAGCTCGCAAGGTTGAAAACCCAAAAAGGGCGGCCTTGGCAAAAGTTAGAGCGCAAAAGGAGAGTGTTAATACCCGAGTGAACCCGAACCGAACTACGTAAGGCCTGATTCTCATCTTTAGGATACGTAGGCAACTCCATTCTGAAGCTCAGCCATAAACACTTCCAACTCAACTTTCTTGTCCATGAGATTGTTCAGATCATCTTTGTCTTTTTTGTATCTCAAGAGTTCGGTTGTGATCTTCACTATGAGAGCTCGTTACAGTACAGTGCAGTGCTATTCAGACAAGGGACAACTTTCCATTTGCTGGATTCAGGATTGTACATCTCGAGGATAGATTCCATGTGTGTCGAATTGTGATCCTTATTGAAAATGGTTTTGAAAAGTTTTAATAAAAGTTGATTTTTTTCAAATTAATCTTTATACAACTTAGGCCATTTTTGGACTAAAAGGAAAATTTTCAGTGCCTATAATTTTCAATTTCATTGATTTCAATACAAAGTTCTCAAACTCTTGGTAAAAATCAAAGTTATTTTTATTACATTCAAAAAGAAAACTTGAAAAGTTAGATCAAAGCAATAAACTTGGGGCATAGATGAGTCGAGTGTCCTTGCGTCCCCTTTCAGAGCTTGTGGAAGCTTCAGATGCTAAAGTGAGCCCAATTTGCACCTCATCTTCAAGCCAAGTTAAGTATTCACCAGAAAAGGTGCAACAGAAATTAGGAGCAGGAGTCAAAAGTTTTTCTTGTCCTCCAAGCAGTGGGATATCAAGCTAACTGTGAACCTCGGATTGGAAATGAAGTCAGGTACTCTATCCCCTCTTTTGGGCAAATTTGGTTGTGTCTGAACTGACGCCTGAACTGGAACAGAAAGTAGAATACACAATGTGTCAAGCCAACCAACTGAATGCCAGGTTGTCGAGCCATGCTGTAGCTCATCTGGGGCAGATCAAACCAGGGGCAACGTCAAGCAATGTCAGTAGCGGACCTGTTGCACATCCAATGACACCACCAACCTTCGTTCGAGAAATCAACTAGCCGTTGGTGAAAAAATAGCCTAATGCTAAATATGTAGGGCAGGGGCCCACTCCCTTCAACCTGTCCATGAGCTATATCTGGGGAGGGATGAAAGAAAAGAGAGATTACAGAATAGAGAGGTGTATGTGGAGAGGAAAAGTGAGAAAGGGTTTTGAGAGAAAAAACAGAGCATGAGTGTTGAGAGATGTGAGAAACACATATGAGAAGGGTGGGAAACATTACCTGCAAAAATAGTGGACTTCCCGCAAACTTGTTTGTCTCTCATCGATGGAAGGCGTCCATGCCCATCAAAGTCTCGGCCAATGCTAAGCCAATGTAGCTCTTCGCCTCTTTCAAGCCTTGGGCCACTTTGATCAAGCGAATGCTAGACCCTCCGAAACCCGGGGCAAAAAGAAAATAAGCCAACATACACAAACAAAGGGCATGCTGCCGAAAACTCTGCCAAAGACGATCACCGCGGTCACCGGCGTCAGAAAATCGATGAATCAAACTGGGGATATCCAGCTCTTCATTGTAAACCAAGGATTTAGCCTCATGTAAAGTGAGCCCACACATCCTTTCTAAAGCTTGGGTGTGGCTAAAACGAGATTGAGGCAGGATTTTCTCGTCACGCCGGGATTCCATCAAAACTTGAAATTCTTCAATTGACGGACATATCTCTTGTCCCCCAAAGCTGAAAACATGTGTAACTGGGTTCCAACACCTAGCCGCGACATGAAGGAATGGAAAACACAGCGGAGAACAACTTAGCAGGAATAGTGCATTTATCCCGAAACCCTAGAAATTCACTTTTTCCGATCCATCTACAGTTGCAATCCAATTTGAGGGTTTTTCGGCAAAGAATGGCTCCATTTGTGGAAAAAACAAAGCTGGAATGAAGAACCTACGAAGTCTCAACTTTTGTAGAAGATAAGGCACTGAGTGGAAGACATGTGGCAACAATCTGAAGGTCCCTTGCACTGATGGCCGACCGTCTAGTGTTGATGGCCGACGCACACCTTTTGTAGCCGAACGACGGCCATTGGTGGCCGATAGCCTCTGTTCATTGCTGACAACATTCTTGTGGTCTTCCTGTGTGTTGAGAGCACTGAGAACCTATGTTTTGTTCTGCTCTTGGTGCATTCTGCAGTCTTGTTTTAATAGTTTTGATGAGTTGCTTGTAAGTTGCTTCGAATTGTTTATCAGGTTGTTTCAATTTGTTTATAAAGTTGTTGTGTTGCTCATCGAGTTGTATTTGTATTGCATTGATTGTCGAGTTGTTATTATTAGTTGTTCATCAAGTTGTTTTACTCTGTTCGTTAAGTGTTGGTCGGTTCATTACTTGATTAAGAAGGTTGTACTAATACGATGTTCAATTTCCATCAATCTTGTTTTTATACGATGTGGTGCTTGTGCAGTGCTCAGGATGCAAAATACAACACTTTTTCATCGGAAAAAAAAGCTGGTTTTCATTCCGATCACGGTTACCTTTTTTTACACAAGGGTACAAGTTTTTTAAGAAAATAAAACTGTCTAAAATGTACAATGTGCTAACACTACTAGAAAAAAAAAGAACTAAGAAAAATACAAGAAATCAGTGCCAGCTATCGCAAGCTCTAGAAGCCCTCTTCGTCCTCTTTCTCGGTGGAGCAGACTTTACAAAGCTGTCTCCATCCGCACCCTTATCTGAATCTGATGCTGAATTAGAATCGGAACCGGAGTCGTCGTCGCCCTCTACCTCAAAGCCCTCCTTGGCATCAACATCACCATTAGCAGAATCCGAGCCAGCGTCATTGTATCCGCTCTCAGATGACTCAGCGAGCTGACCCATAGCCTCCTCGGTCTCGCTAGTCTCAGTATGAGCCTCGCTCAGAATAGGCTCTAAAGGGCCACTCTCATCTCGGGCACTCCTAGCTCGACCTCGGTAACGTGCCAAATCCTATCTCTCTCTCCTCCCTACCGCCAGAGGTGATGGTCCTGCTACTGTTGCCACCAGTGCTGTTGGTAAAGGTGGGACCTGAAAAGGCAGTTGGTATATGTCAACCACAATAGGTGTATCAGATGCAAGTATGGTGTGCAGAATGAGTACATACAGAAGTCAGGTACAAAGTATGAATATAGTATGAAAATACAGAGTACAAAAAGCAGAGTATATAGTGTAGCGTATAGAAAGTTCAAATGCAAAGCAGTGTCAGACTATGTGTGTGTGCAGTCTACAGAAAGTGCAAAGCAGAAAAGTAAAGCTTACCTCCCAGGCTCTCTAGTAGCCGCCGACTTTATTTCCGCTCCTGCGGGATGTCGAGCTCATCTAGCCATACAAGGTACCGAGGCCAGTGTCACCCCAGTCATAAAGCCGGACCCAAGACAAGTCCACCAAAGCACTCAAGAGATATAGCCTGACAGTGTTCGCCCTGTCGGCAAACAAAGTGGTGCCAAAGAGGAGCATCAAGAAGCCTCAGGCGTACTGTTTTATCTCCTCTCAGGTCTCTAGCTCTGTGCCTCTCAAATGATTCGCAAACCAAGTATATCGAGCCATCCTGATCAAAAGAGAGGTGGGTGTGCCCTTATCAGGTAGATCCAAGCGGCCTGCCATTCACCCATGTCAGTATCGTAAGGGATCGGCCGAGCCCCTACCTTGATGCCAGTGAGCACAGCAAAGTCATAGGGGGTCATCGTCATGTCTCCCGCGGTAGAGAAGTGGAAAGAGTTGGTGGTGTCCCACCATCTCTCTACTAGTGCACCAAGGAAGGGCTTGCTCGCTATGAGACGCGATGGCCCCATACAGAACAAGCCGAATCCGGCCTCGTCGACAATCTAGCAGACGCCAACGGGGAGGTCCATATACCACTCCATCGCAGATGTGGCTCCGTATCCTTGGATAGAGTGAGAGTCCCCCTGTAATTAGAATGTGTTTGAGAAGGTAGCGTAAGAATTATAGTGCACGGATGTGTTTGAGATAAACAGATGAAAGACAGCGTAAGCGTGATCTGTGCAAGAAATACAAGCTACATTACGGAAAATGTAAGAGTATAGTATATACCTCGGTTGCACCGTAGGATAAATGAGACTCTGGCACTCGTAGCAAGAGATCCTCTGGCACATCTCATGCAAAAACTCGGAAATGAGGAATAGTATCGGGCGGCAGCACATGCACCTCAGGGTGATATGTCTCCTGGTCAAAGGGACGAACCCTGGGTGGTAATGGTACATGCTCGGGATCTGCTTCCATCCCTGGAGAAGCTCCGTGATGGGGGATGTCGTCTGCCATCTGGAAAGGGGATAAGAAAGTGGGAAAAAATGAGCAAAATGGGTGGAGAATTCCAAAAGTCAACAAAAGTCAACCCTAAGAGAGAGAAAATAGGAGAAAAATTCAAAGCCCGGGAAAAGGCATAGAACCTAATAGAAACTCGAGGGAAACAAGCTTCAAGTGGTGGAAATGAAGAAAAAAGTACCAAAATCAAATTTCAATCGGTTCAAAACGAAAGAAATCAAGAGGTTTTAGCAAATCAACTTCGCGATGGGCGTTGGAAAACGCGTATAAAGCATGGATCTAGAGGGAAAAAGTGTCTAGAGTGAGAAAGCAAAGAATTTCGGCAAGGGAGGTGTGAGGAAATGAAGTTTGACGGTGTAAATATAAAGACCCGATACAAAATGACCAAAATGGCTCGAAATTGCCATCGGTGGCCGACAACTTTCAAGTGTGGCCGACAGGTCTCCCTGGTGGCCGACAAGCTTCCAGTGTTCTTCATTTGGGTGTTGTTGTTGTTTTGTGCCCTTGGTTCTCGAGAAAGTGCAAGAAAAGTTCACTTTTAAGCTCAAATTGTCTTTGCGGAGCTCCGAACCGTGTCTTCGGTGCATGATTCAACACTAATCAACGTCAATGAGGTGTATCCTTTTAAAACATATTGCAACTCTTCCGAGAGGTAAATCGGAAGTTGCGACTGTGTCAGCTTTATCCAACACGTTTTTGTCATTGCATAGAACATGTATCTCTTTGTCGTTGCATAGAACGTGCCTTTCACATGAGATGTTGCATAGAATGTGCACTCTTTGTATTTGCATAGAACATGCTTCTGTTTCCCATTCGCATAGAGCATGCATTTGGTGTTTTGCATAGAACATGCTGTTAATCTCGCATTGAACATGCATTTTCTACTATTGATCACTGCATAGAACATTCATCTTGTACTATTGCATAGAATATGCATCCTAATGTGGCACAGACCATGCTCTGGCTCACGCTGCATAGAATATGCTTCTGTTTTGTTTCTCGCATGTTTTGCATAAAACATGTCTCTAACATTGCCTGATTATTCGTCTTGCACAGAACATGGACTCTTACTATGTTATGCTTGTTAAGTCTCTTTCTTATGTAGGCACGATATTGTATGTACGGTTCATTCAGAGAAGTTCCAGGTGAGATCATTCATGTCCTTCAATTTACCATGTTTTGGTTAAAAGCATTTGGACGTGTTTCGATGTTTATCACCACTCCTTGTTTTGGTTAGAAGCATTTGGACGTGTTCCAATTTTTACCACCACTTCTTGTTTTAGTTAGAAACATTTGGACGTGTTCTGATGTTTACCACCACTCCCTGTTTTGGTTAGAAGCATATGGACGTGTTCCGATGTTTATCACCACTCCTTGTTTTCGTTACGAATATTTGGATGTGTTCTGGTGTTTATCACCGTTCCCTTTGGTTAAGAATAGTCCGGTACATCCCGGTGTTCATACCATCACTTCTCTCCTTCCGCATGCGATGTGTTAGGATCTTGTTTGACACCTCAGGTGCACCCCATGGTTTTGTTATTCTTTGCCTTTCCTATGTGATGTGTAGTTAAGTTTGCATAATTTTCTTACATCCTTTCTGCATGAAATGTGGTTTGGTTCATGTTTACTTGCTCATGTTTGAGTTTGTTGTACCTTGTTTCGGTTAAACTGTAGCATTTCTTTGCATAATATTTGCATTTAGATGCTTCGTTATAGTCTCATTGCATGATTATAAGTTATATTCTTGCATCATGCATATCACTTGCATTTTGCCCCAGAACTACGCTGGTTTGATTCCTTGCAAAGGGATACGTAGGCAGCTTGCGGGCACAACCATTTGTTTTGTCTTGTTTGTTTGCTTGTCCAAGTCTTTGGCCTTGCCAAAAATAGGTTCTCTGGGCTTTGACATTCACTCATGTCATTTCATGACTTCTGAGTTCTGTCAACAAGGGGCAACTGTAGACAACCCATTTTTTACCGTTCTCAAGACTTGGACGTCATCGTTTGTGCACTCGATGATTGTGCTTGTTTGTGTTCGTTTTGAGCGCCCGAAGTCCTCGCTAGAATGCCTTGTCTTTGAGCCTCTAAACCTTGTCCATTTTGTGCATGTTTTTGGACCAAGAGCTTGTTGCCTCTTGCCCGGAAGAGAGGGTGACCTGTTTGCCAGCCCTGGGATTTGTCGACCATGGATTGTGCCTGTCAGCAACCAGCGGTGGTCGACGACCATTGGTCCTCTTTTCTAGATATTTGTTTGCCAACTCTGCCAGTTGTTGCTTACGGAGCTGCATCTTCATACACATGTATGGTAGGATGTATTCAAGCTCAAGACTTGATTTTCTATATATATGGGGGTTCCTCCCCCATTTTAGAGGGTTAGACATTTTAGACCAAAAATCTCTCTCTCTCTCTCTAGAGTTCTCTCTCTCTCTTGTTATTTTGTACCTGAAAGTCTAGTTTCTCTACACTTTTGCACATCAACCCTTAATCAAACTTGGCCACCTTGGAGTTGAGGTCTCTTGGAGTCTTGTTTGTGCTCTAGAAGAAGGTTTAAGCTTGGATTGTTGCTTAATTTGTGCTTGAGCTTCAAGAGGTAGTTTACTTGATTAGTATACTTGCTTTGAATACTTGTTTTGCCATCCTTTTGCATTGTTTTTGGGCTAGTTTTCAACTATAAAAATCTCTGTTTTTGAGGCTTAAAATGATGGTTTGTGGCTATTTTGTGTTAAGGGGTAATCTACCATTCTTGTTGCTTAATTGTTTAGACTTTTGCAGCATTTTTCATCACATTCAAATCAAACTTTTTGGGCCTTCTGACCACTGAAATTTATAGATTTTTCAGCGACAAAAATCTTCTTTTAAAGTCCAAAATTGGAGGGGTTAGCCTTCCCTCCTTGTGTCTTGCTTGCATGCCTAGTTAGCCTCACATGTTAGTATGTTTTTCTAGCCTAACTTAGTTTTAGTCCAACATGTTTTTGCCTCTGTTTTGACCTGCCTTAGCTCAGTTTTGGATTGTTCGGGTCATTTGAGCTTTGTTTTGTATCGTTATGGTGCAATTTCCTTCACTAGCTTAGTGTCTCTAGGCTTTGATCATCATTTGTGTGTCTTGGTTGCATGTTTTAATGCTTTTTCATGCCTAATTCTAGCACTTGACATGTCTGCAACCTCCCTTTTCGCTTTACTTTTTTCATTTGTTTGAGGGTTGTTTCAACCTTAGGGTTGTTTAAGCTTGAGGTTGAGGCTTATGCTTAAAGGTTTAATTCTCTTTTGAGGGTTCATTACCAATGGCATGAAGCTTCCCTCATGCCTTGAACTACCCGTTGGTTGACACTTCTTTTGCTTCCCAAACTATGAGGCCTTCTTTTCTTTCAACCCTTTCCGAAAGGCGGGGGCATGGAAAAATGCGAGTCCACAATAAGGCTTCAGTGAACCTGTTGTTCTCTCTTAGTAGATGCGTGAAAGTCAGCTTCTCAAACATAAGAATCAGAACATCCAGGGTTTGGTGATAGATCTTCATCTTTTCTTCTTTGACCTTCTAGTCTCTTTTTGCTTGAGACACAACT